GTCAAGCAGCCATCATGAAGCCCAAGAATTCAAATACCTTCTGACTGAATTGTTGCAATGCTGCCCTTGAAGACCAGCCAGAAGCTTCATTGGTCCAGAATTCAGCAGTGACAGATATCTAAAAGTAACACTTTTACTCCAGAAGCTGCAGTGAATCTCAGTAGGTTTCTGGGTGCAATTCAACACTTTGGTAATCTCCTATAAAGTCCTACATGGCATAGGACCAGGTTATGTGCAGGGCTGCCTGTTCTCAAAACTATCTGGCTAGCTTATAAACTCCAATAAAAAGGCTACACTCCCAAGTCTTTTCATGAAATAACTTCATTTTATAGGACCCAGGCTGTTTGCCTTTCCTATGGTAGCCTCTGCCCTTTGCAACAATCTGCCCCCAACATAGGATAGATTCTAACTGCCAGCCTTCAGGTAAGACCTGTCTCATTCTCTGGGCCTTGGAATCAGGATGAGCTTGGGTCCCAGTTACCAAGCTCCAGAACATTTTAGATGTCATTGTTGTTTCATTATTTCATATGTCATTTTGTATTGACTTATTGTTTTATTTTCTTCCTTTTTTGTACCTCATCCAGAGCCACATGGCCTGAGTCAGGTGGCCATATAAATGTTTATGGAAGTTAGTAGAGGGAAAGAAATGTAGAATTTTACAAGCGGTAAACTTTTCAGAACATTATGAAGAAACCTAGTTTGGGGGATGGAGATGAGTTCCCTTGTCAGCTGACACTAGTTTTATGCCAGTTCAAAGTCAAATCCTGATCTGAAATGCCTCACGTTTCCTTTCTGCAGCCTCCTACTTGTCTCATCCTGCTCTTCTTCCTTTCCTCTTTCCATTCTTCCTTTCTTCTTATTTATTATTGCAGTCATGCCTAAAAGCCCCAATGGAGCTTAGGTCACCATAATATGAGAAGCTATACAAACACACAGGAACACGCCTGTCGTGCTTCCAGGGAGCTCATGGCATAACAACATGGGAAAGAGCAGGCAGAAGAAAGAACGAAAGCAAAGCCTGAAATGACCACAAAGCAAACCCTGGTTTTGGTTCTGCATCCTCTTGCCAAACTGGCATTTCTCCTCCTTGTCTGGCATTTCTCCTCCTGTCCATCCTGCAGCAGGCAAGTGTGTCTACCTGAGCTGCCCAAAACAAGACTGACACACACACACAAACACAATGCCTCTTTGATAGTTGTCAGATTTGGATAACCATCTCTAGATTTCCTCATGGAACGTGCTGTTCCTCTTTGTACTATTCCTCTTTGTACTATTAACCCTGATTTTCCACTGCAGTAAACAATAAAAAGGCAAGATAGATAGCCCTTCAGACCATTCCAGCTGGGCAGCCGGCATTTGAGCCATTATCCCTTATTCCTCTCCCCCTCCCTGTAAGCAGTCTCATTTTCAAGTTCTTTTCTCTTCTTGACTTCATTGGCGCTCTCCAGCCCATGGGCTGCCTCCGAGAGTTTATTTCCTTTGTTCTTTCTGCACAAGATTCTCAGCAGGAGGGGAAAATCCCATCCAGCCACTCTGTCTGAACCACATACCCCCATAGGTCTACACCAGCCTCTCAAGGGAGCCCAGAGGTATTCCAGAACATGGCTTAAATAGGAGAAAAGAGAGGCACTGCACCTTATTTTCTTTTTCTATTCATTTCTCTGTGGATCCTGTTTTGTATTGCCAAGTGAAGAATTAAAGAGGAAGAATTGCCTCACTTCCATAAAGAGTATGCCATGGATTTCACAGTTCTAGGACTAAAAAAGATAGAAAAGAGGCCCAGATGAGAAACCACTTTTTTACTTCTACGCTTCTAATGGGCTTCACGCTGGGGGGTAATATAGACAGATGAGCATATTTCAGTCAGTTACTCTCAAAGTTTCAGAGGGAATTAACCTATTCTGCAAATTAACAATCAGAATGCAATTATCCTTCCTACTTAACACATCATCCACTTAGGCAGATTAGTTTGGGACTCATAAACAATCCCAAACTGCATATTAAATGCATTTGCAAGCGTGTAACTTTTCAGTTAACATCTTCCCAATACCTCTGAATCTGTGCCTATTGTTTTCCCACAAAAATTAGCAGATTAGTTTAGGAACAGTAGGATATAATTTTATGAATGAACAGGTGCAAAATTATCACAGACTAGAAATAAGAATGATCTGATATTCTTCTATATCGCTCTTCATAAATTGTGTAATTTACAGTGCAAATAAGTTGCTAATGTTGATAATATCATTTAAAGAGGGAAGAAATTAAATTTATGGTGGGTTTTGTTTTTTGTTTTTGAGGAAGGGACAAACCTAGGTGTATATATATATATATTTTAAAAAGTGGGTGCATAATGAAAACAGATGCTACCTATGCATAAAGTGCTGTAGAAAGTTGGGAAGAGGATTTTATACTTTTTGTATCACTGTTAACCACACACATTCCATTTAGAGTATGTAAAACACTTAGTGCTTATAACTCCACTCTTACTGGCAAGACCTAATATTTCACTACTAGTACCAGCAATTTTGTTATGACAAACATAGACACCACATGGAATGCACACTCTAGCTCTTCTAAAGCCTCTCGGCCTAACTCAAGTTCACATTATTAATCTGAAAAAGAAACTTCTTCATGAAAACAAATAATCAAAACATTCTAGTAGACTGTTTTGCAAAACTTAGGTGGGAACAGAAAAAATCTTGTTCAAATAAAGCTAAGTTGCTGTGGAACAGACAAAATAACTTATATGTAAATAAGTATAGGATCACTTAGTTGACATTGGCCTCTGCTAGTTGTTTATGATGGTATGTCATACAGAACCCTAATTTATAAACATGTTGTGAAAAAAAAATTCTGGCCATGTTTTATTTTCATTTTTTCCTTTATTATGACCAGATGTGGGTATAATTTGACAATATTATAGGGGAGACGGAATGGGATACAGGTAATGTGCAATTTTGAAATGGTATCAGATTTTTTTTTGGGGGGGGGGGTCAGTTCCAACCAATGCATCTCCCACATGCATCATGCTATGGTATTATCACTGCACAGCATAATTGGACCAGGCTTGCACTTAATCTACACTCACTACTTTATTTGTCTAGACAATGATTTCAATGCAACCAAGTTAAAATAGGTCTGCAACTACAGCAGTAGCAACAAGCAGAGTTTTACAGTTCATTAGTCCAACATACATATCCTCATACACATAGGCAAATATACTGGGACATTCCCTCCACTGTTTATTTAATATGGTAATTGATGTATGGCTGTTACATTTCTTTTTTTGTAGATATTACCAAGTTTTACCTACATATGCTGGAACTATTAAAATATCATTGAGGAGAAGGAAGCAATGGTGTGTACATTGGCTCCAAATCTTCTTTTCCTACTAATACCCTTTTAGTGTATCATAAGTTGCTCCTCTCAAAACATCTGCAACAATTGGTAATGGGGGGGGGGCATTTTTCATCTAGAATCCAAGCAGCATGCAAGTATATATGGCTTATATTGAATCAACCAGTAAAGTCCAATTCTCCTGTTTCCCCTAAAGCTCTTCTCTGTAGTGAAGAATTAAATAGCTTACCTGGGGTAGAAAGTCTCAAAACAAGATTCCAGCTAAAACTGGAGACTGATCCAAGAGAAAAATTGAATAAATAAACCCCCTAGCAGAAAGCTATAAGGTTTATCAAGGTCTTTTCTGTTTCTACAAAAGCTGGTTTTCATTAAGCCAGCTTTAGTACCAGTTTTCCCCTCCTTGATCCCAGGAACACACAACACACCATCGATGTCTCCTTCATTGCCAGTCTGCTCTAATGAAAAGCAGAATCACACCTAGGAAAAGAGGGGTGAGATATTGTGAAAAAATATCCCCTTTTTTGAGTCAGAGATTGCAAACACATACATGCATGCAGTTTCAATTTCTTGCCCATAAATAAATCATTTATTGTTGTCATAACTTGCACGTTCTTATTGAAACATGCTTTCTCAGAATTTTAATGGAATCAGTTAGCCATGATTGGGACATTTTAAAATATTGCACATGATGGCCTTGATTACGTAGAAAGAGGATTTTGGTATTTTTCTGGCCCTGCTATGGAAAGTGGGTGCTATCAAGGGGATGACCAGGGATGCAATAAGCCTCAATTTAACAGTGGCTAGATGATTTCCATGCAATCAAAGGAAGTTTTCAAATGACCAATGACTATCCATAAAATGTATCATATGTATCGAGGCAGAAGAGGGAAAACTATTTCATATATTTCTCCCCAATCATAATGTAATTTGTCTAAGCAGCTTGGCAAGTTTGGTATTTTACATCTCAACGAACTAGTTGCTACTGAAAAGTATAGAGAATACAAAGCAAGTCAAAAAGAGGACTAATGCAGACATATATACTCATTCCCTACAGATTGCTTATAAATAACTTGCATTACTTTTCATGGATTAAAACTTCCGAAAGCTTAACATCTCTTGACATCTCCAGTGTGGTCTTTTTCAATGCTGAGTTCTTTAGTCAGCAATACTGAGCCTTGTACATGCACTTAAAAATCAAGATATTAATACATTGCTCTTACTCCTAACTCTACCATGTTCAGCAATTAAATCTTTCCCTATAACATATAAACTGAATATTATGACCCAGCATCAAAATGTCCGATTGTTCCGTGCAACAAAAGATGAAATTGTCAGCTCAAGGATATGTTTTCTTTGGCCACATTTTAACCGACAACATGATAACTTGGAATCGCTTCTCTTCTGAACTTGGAGCTAAAAGCCACATATGTATGCAAATAAGCATAGTTTGTGCATGAAGGCTATTTATTTTCTCCTTTTAGCTGAGAATAAGATCCTCTGTAATCTGGAAGAAGCCACACAATGCCTCCATGTTTGAAAAGATAAATAGGTGACATTTTTCCTGCCTTGCAGGGTGATTTGGGGTAATCATAACAAGTGTATTGCAAAACACACTTGCAACTTTCCTTAATATCAACAAAGAGCGGAGTTCCCAGAGTGAGAATCTGAATCAGCTTTAACAGACTGCACCTGGAACATCTCTCTCAACCTAATACATTCACTTTGCACCATTGAGAGGTAAGCACAGCCTTCAGGAGCCAATTGTAAGTTCTGCCAACCTGTTTATTATTCTTCCTTCTTTGGGGAGTGCTCCATTTATACAGTAGGCTACTCTCTGCAAGCATTGCTATCATTTAGAATTCAGCAGCAAGACTGAGTAACGTGACAACAGCTTATTGACTGCATGCTTTAAAATAGGAGACTATCCCATGCCAAATAGCCAGGAGAAGTCATTTACAGTTCAGTCTCTCTGAATAAAGTCATCATTTGTTCTAATGTTTGTGAGCCATTTTAGATTCATAAACATTTTCTTGTGCTACCAAGAGGTTATCCAAGTACAAATAGCCCCAGTTAGATAATTCTCCAGAGACCACCAGCAAGGCCTGGTCAGATAGACCGATTGCTAACATATTTATGATTCTGTTTTTCATTATCTTAAAAATTTAATTTATGCTGTCCCTTTTCTAGTAGAAATTATAGAGCAAAGTGCAAAACGGACTTTTAAAGTGTCATTGTCCAGCAGAATGACCTCTGAGCAGTACACGATGACTTTCTCTTTGCAGCTTATTTTACTGCACAGTATTGTCGTCATCCCTATCTGAAATCTATAAATGATGAGGTCCATAAACCAGCTTTATTATAAACACCAGAATCCATTTGAAAGTTTGTAAGGGTGAGGAGGGGACAGTGAGGCTTAAACCTAGGTCAAATTAATCCATTAATATTACAATTTTCTAGACTTAATCTCAAACGTGCCAGAAGGGAATGAAGGAGAAGAAGAAGAAAAAGGAAGACTAATTTTTTTTGCTATTTCTTTTTAGCACCAGTGAAAAATCCTGCTTAAAGTACTAAACTGAGAATTTTGACTGCCATGTTTTTAATAAAATATGGAATTCTCTTGTACTGTGTTTGGGAATAATTAAATCTCTGAAAGGGTAAGATACAGATACAGAATCACTAGCTCCTTTATTAAGCCAACCTGCTTCACCATTTTGCAAAATCAGAGAGCAGTTCACTCTAGAATATCAGCTAAAATACTTTTGTTACATGGGACAAGAAAACATGTGAAACTAAATAAATGCATGCTTGTGAATATACACACATGTGCATACAGATTCCCCCCTTTTCCCCTTGTGAGTTTAAAAAGGAAACTAAAAACTCCTATTTCCCAAAAGTTGCCTCAATTACTTTACAGAATGTGTCAACATGAATAATGATATCAAGAGACCTGCCAAAAACACCATAGGAGAGACTAAAAGTACACAGACTGCAGCAGGCAGACAGCTATGCTGCATAAAGTATGCCTCAACTGGAAATGTCCCTTAGAGGAAAGAGATTGCACAGACCAGGCCTCTAGTGAAGTTAATACCCAAAACAAAGGTACTCCAGATTTGTACAAGAGGAATGTACAAATCTTTGAAAGAGGTGTTGTGGAATATACGGAGGCATGTACACATTTGTTTTTTAAGATAATTAAAATAGTGGCCTCTTTTCAGAAAGTTCTTTTTCAGAAGTGGTTTTGGCTGTCTCCACAGACTTGTACTTGTACTTGACTTCCCAAACTCAGCTCCAATCTTGTCATCTTTTAAATGCAAAATTCCAATTTAAATTGAATCGGGGTTCACTTGCACTGGCTGTCAAATGTTAGTTCTCTTCCCTGTTTCCAGATTGGTTTGTAATTAAGACATATGACTTGGGACCAAGTTACCTGAGTTGCTTCTTCTCCCAGTTGTCTCTATCAGTCCAGTGTGGTCCAGTAGATTGGGCATGATACCGGTCTTATCAGCCAAGGAATGGCGGCTGGCAGGGACTAGCAGATGTTCCTTCTTTGTTTTAGCATCTGCCTCTGGAACATTTTTCTTTCAGAGATCAGGATGACCCTGACCTAATTTACTTTTCAGAAGGAATTGAAGACATGGTTATGTGCCTGGGCCTGGGCCCACAAGGATATGAATGGTCCTGTTTTCTAGCCGTATTGATATCTATGTTGATAATTTTCCTCAGATGCCACATATATTTTGTCTTCTACTGTAATTGTTTTTATCAGTTTTATGATTGTTTGCAGCCCAGAGTCACTTTTCTAAAACGGGCACCTATAGAAATTAATGAATTAATTTGATTTTACAGTAATTAGTTAATTTGTGCATTTTCAAGTATATATGATTTTGTATGTATTTCTGTAAAATGCACAGAGGGGTGTTTTTTTTGGGGGGGGGGGGGAAGTGAAAGGAATTGCCAGCAGTTTTAACTTTTCTTTCTAAGTAATTGAAATCTGAATTTTCCCTTTAAGATCCTATATTTTAATCTAACTGCAACTACGTAGCAAAAATCTTTTGTTGACTTTTTTTTTTTAGTTTCTACCTCTTATTTTCACCTTGTTGAAGTTCTATTACATTTTAGATATAGTTCAAATCATGGTTTCATTAATATAAAGTGTCCTTATTTACTTTCAGGAAAAAGTCCTGATTTCCAAAAGCAGTCCCTTCCCATTCTTTAAAATATATTTTTAAAAGGAAATGACCTTGTCCTTTAAATTAATACATTGGCAAATTAACCTAAATGCTCTTCTGATCTACAGCCGCACAGCCTGGTGTCATAGACCATCAGGCCAATAACAGCGTATTTTCAGACTGTTAGAGAGAACTCAATTATGCCTTTAAATGTAATCTACTGTGATCCAGAAAGCCCATACGTCTTCAGGCAAAGTAAAAAACAAAACAAAACAAGGGGTGATGGTGGGGGTCAAGATTTTACTACTGCATAAAAATGCACTGGCAATAATAAAGAGGAAATTAAATTTCTTCAAACTACATTACAGTGACATTATGAGCCTATCTCAAAACCACAGCAAGGCCCCCAAAGGCGCTCCTTGCCATACCATTTCTGTCCTTAACTTGTCTCCTATTGCTTGAGGTCAGTTAAGGACACGGAGCTAAGCTTGTTCTTGATTCTTTCTGACCTTTGATTTCACTTAACTTCTCTTCTGAAACAGTCCTGGAGGCTCGTTTTTCATAGAAGAGTCTATGTTAATTGCACAAGGAAAGAACCAGCCCCTTAGAGCCTCGGCCATCTGTGAGAAGATTCTGCCTTCTGTCGACTGGCACCCGGCCAAAATCTCCCTTCCCTCATTGCTGTATGCAGACACAAACCCACATGCATAAACACAAATGCTCCATTTGTAAGATGGAAATGGTGATTATGATTTTTGCCTTGAGGCAGGAAATAAATCTGCAGCATTATCCTAAATGAGCCTGTTCAGAAATACTGTACACCTTGGAGAATGCCAAAGAAAGTATCTCCATTTCTAGGAAATAGAAACAGAACAATAATACAGATAGTCTTCGACTTACAACGGTTCGTTTTGTGACCGTTCAAAGTTGCAACGGCTCTGAAGAATGTGACTTATGACTATTTTCCACAGTTACGAACTTTGCAGCATCCTGTTATCATGTGATCAAAATTCAGACGCTTGGCAACTTATGATGGTTGCAGTGTCTCAAGGCCATGTGATCACCTTTTGTGACCTTCTGACAAGCAAAGTCAATGAGGAAACCAGATTCATTTAACAAATAGATTACTAACTTATCAACTGCAGGGATTCACTTAACAACTATGGCACGAAAGGTCATAAAATGGGGCAAAACTCATGTAACGATCAAATAAGTGAGATAGGCCTCAGTCCCAAGGTCTGTATAAGGAAACTCTGACAGAATAGAATAGAATAGAATAGAATAGAATAGAATAGAATAGAATAGAATAGAATAGAATAGAATAGAATAGAATAGAATGGAATGGAATGGAATGGAATGGAATGGAATGGAATGGAATGGAATGGAATAGAATCTTGGAGGTCTTCTAGTCCAGCCCCCTGCTCAAGCAGGAGAACCTATACTATTTTAGACAAGTGACTGTCCAGTCTCTTCTTAAAAGCCTCCAATGATGGAGTGCCCATGATTTCTGGAGGCAAACTGTTCCACTGGTTAATTGTCCTCACTATTAGGAAGTTTCTCCTTAATTCCAGGTTGCTTCTCTTTTTAGTCTGTTTCCAACTATTGTTTCTTTTCTTGCTTTCTGATGCTTTGGAAAATAGTTTGACACACACCCCTCTTCTTTGTGGCAGCCCTCAAATACTAGAATATTGCTATCATGTCACCCCTGTTTCTTCTTTTCTTTAGACTAGCCAAACTAGGTAAAATTAAAGGTATGAGTATCTTGTGATTTTTAATAACTCAAACAGACAGCAAGATGTGATTTTTTTAAGCAAAAAAGAGTAAACTTTCCCAAGAACTAAGAACATCTTTTTGCAGAACTATAGTGAAAAAACAATTAACTAAATCATAAAGAAATTAATTGCTGAAAAGTTTCCTTTAGTGTTTGAATAAATGCACCCTTTTAATATGCACTAACAATCTTTGAAATTAATAGTAAATGGTCCAAAGTCTATAAGCTGATGGATACTACATTTAACTACATAAAGGCTGAAGATTAGCTCTTTGATCAACTCTTGGCTTTTGTTAAAGTATAATCTTTGTTCTTTTAGTGACTTAATTCATTTTATGTAATCTCTTTTTGCGTCTTAATATATTATTGAAATATATTCTAAATAAAATAAAATAATGAAATTCTCTGTCTTTTCCTTTCATTTATGATCCAAAATGCAAGATATGATAGACTTTTCCTGAAGAGAAAAATTGGGGCTATTCAGTACCCTTACTCAATAAATCTAGTGATGACGATCTCAAATATATTTGGAATAAACAAATTTCCAAGAAAAAAAACACAGCTGGGATGACACCAAATTATTCAGGGAGGAGAAAACATAAATGGAACATGTCACAAAGAGTTCAAAAAGAATCTCTCCAAATTGGTAAATGGGGTGCTAGATTGTGGATGGACATCCACAGGAATAAGAAATAGAGTTGATTTGAATCTGAAATGAGATTGAAATGTGACAAAGCCTTTACATCAAAGTTCCTTACAGAAAATATCAGCTCTATGTTCATCAGGTATTAAAAAGA